CCGGAACTGTCTGGTTTCATAACCGTTCATTTTATATACACAAGAAGGTACATGGTGCCACCATCCACCAGGCAGAGGCCGCAGAGCGTCTGTTACCTAAATGAATTAGGTTCAGCCATTCATAAGTGCTCGGAGCTTCGTAATAAAACCTTGAGCTATTTACAAACGCGCTAATAGGGTTCAGAAGCGCAAATGGAGCTGGAAATGGAAGAGATTGATGCAGAAATACATGAAATAGCAATGGATCATATAAATGAATTTGAAACAGAAGTGGATGCTGAAAAAGAGTCTCACCATGATACTATAAATGTGATGACGCGTCAAATAATGAGAAAAATTGGAATACTTTATCTGATTCTTCTTTCTGGAATGTATTGGTTTCAGATAATTTTTGGGTTGAAATTATTAAAAGAGGAAATTCATCATTTCAGAACAAGGATGGGCCTTTCAGTATTGTGACAAGGCAAGGTGCAAGAGCTAAAGGAGGTGTGCGCCAGTTGTCAAAAGATTGGTTCTACAAGATGATGCCTAATAGTGAGAAAAATGTTGCGGTCATGGATGGTTTACTCGCTCGTCAGTTAGAAATTATTCTGTTTTTGCTGCAAACTCTTTGCTGTTAATGCAACAGAAACAACATCCAAATTTGTCACTGGTCAAAGAGAGAAAAAAGTGGGGGGGGGATATCTTCCACAGGTTGCTTGATATCACACTCTTTCTTGCAAAGCAAAGCCTGGCATTTCGTGGACACCGGTAAAATGAATCATCATTGAATAAAGGAAACTTTCTTAAGATGGTTGAGATGCTTTTTAAATATGACCCTGTGTTGAAAGAGCACCTTATGAGATTAAGGCAAACAACATCTACAACAAATGTATCTTATCTTTCAACACAAACACAGAATAAACTCATAAATGTCCTGGCAAATCATGTGAAGGAGATTCTCATTAATGATATAAAGGCAGCGAGGTATTTTAGAATTATGTTCGACAGCACACCTGACATATCACACACTGACCAGATGTCTGAGGTGATCAGGGATGTGAAAATCCACAATGGGGAAGTTGAAGTTAGAGAAGTGTTTCTAAGATTTTTCCGATGAAGGGGAAAAAATCTAAGGACCTCAGTTATTAAATTCTTAAGAATCAAGAAAGTGATGAATTTGACATAATGATATGCAGAGCTCAAGGCTATGATAATTCTGCCACAATGTCTGGAATCCATGGAGGTGTTTAGGCCATTTTGAAAAAAAAGAATAGTAAAGCTATTTTCAATGGATGTATGGACCATTCGCTTAATCAATGCGGTCAGCACTCTTTCTCTGAAAATGCTTCATGTGTAACATTTTTGGTACTCTTGAGAGAATGTATTCTTTCTTTGCTGCTTCCACGCATCGATGGGATGTTTTAATTAAACACACTGCAATGTCGGTTAAAAGGCTTTCAGCAACACGCTGGAGTGCACATCATGCCTCTGTTCAACTGGTGAAAGATAAATTTGATGAATGAGTGGCGAAGATTACCATTAGCGCATTAAGCAATTATCGGAATCGGATTATGTATATGATCTAGTGAAACTCTGAAGAGATCCATAATGAAAGTCTAGAGGGGTGACACCTTGAGTTCACCGCTCTGGGTGACTCCAACCTCAGTGATACTAATGTTTAGTTGTTATAATTTTTTTTGTTTCAAGTTTTTTTTATTTTTTCCTTAATTTACTATTGATCTAACGTATATTGACTATATGCAGTTATATATCAATTTTCAGAGAAAGTACTAGAGCTCCGAGCAAGAAAGAGCATATAATTAAGAAAATTGGCGAATAATCGATTAAACTAGATCATATTATTAAACTATGATGTTCATTTCACCTAAAAAACGTATTTGATTAAAATCTTATTCAAATTTGCACAAGCGATTGTGATTTTAAGAAGATTTTTTTTTTAAAAAAAAAAAGTAATCTTTGGTATGGGTTTTTTCGCTACAAAATAATACCGCAAAATTTAATATTTAAATATTTTTTGTCTTTTCATAATTCACAGACCTGATCATTTAACGGAAATAAGTTGTAGTCAACAAAATTTTATTCGGCCAATAGTTATCGTAATAATTTAGATCTTCCTATATTTAGAATGGTAATGTACTAGATGAGTCATCTACCATTCATCTTCTAGGATTAACTCTTACTTCTGATCTTTCTTTTAAACCGTATATCAAATCCATTGCAAAATTAGCATCTGCTAAGGTTGCATCTCTTTATCGAGCTCGACACTTTCTTACTCCAGATTCTATTCTCTATCTCTATAAATCTCAAATCCGTCCCTGTATGGAATACTGTTGCCACATCTGGGGCGGATCTTCTAATGATGCTCTTTCTCTTTTAGACAAGGTGCAAAAACGAATTGTAAACATAGTTGGACCTGCTCTGGCAGCCAATCTCCAACCTTTGTCACATCGTCGTAATGTTGCTTCTCTTTCTCTTTTCTACAAATACTATAATGGGCACTGCTCTAAAGAGCTAGCGTCCTTTGTGCCATCTACTAAAATTCATTCTCGTGTTACTCGCCATTCAATTAAGTCTCATCCTTTTTCTTTGACTGTTCCTAAGTGCTTTAAAAACTCTTATTCTTCTAGTTTTTTTCCTCGAACATCAGTTCTTTGGAATTCGCTTCCTTCATCTTGCTTTCCTGATTCATATAATTTGCAATCTTTTAAGTCATCAGTCAATCGTCATCTTGCTCTACAGATTTAGTCTTTTCTCTTCCAGTAACTTCCAACTCTTATAGTGGTTGCTTGCAGCCTTGTTGGAAGTGAAGATGTTAAAAAAAAAAAAAAATATCATGCATATTCTGTAATATTTTAAAATTGCCTTAAGGGGCCATCCATAAAGGACGTCATCCAAATAGGGAGGGGGGAGGGGTCGAGATAAAAAGGATAAAACAAGGAGAGAAGAAAGTTTGTCAGAAAAGGACGTCACTTCATAGATTTTTTATTTTAGTTTAATTAACATGGAAAACTATGTAAACATGGATTTTTAAGAAGATAATGTATGAGAATATCTTTAATTTTATTTTTCAAAGGTGTAGCAGCTGATTCAAACATCATTGCAATATAAAAGTAATTTTTTGGGGGTTAAATATAGGGAGGGGGGGTCAAAATTTTATGACGTCCTTTTTAAGGAGGGTATAGGGGAAAAGGACAACCGGTGACAAGGCGGGGGAGGGGGTCAAAAATTGGCGTTGTTTTAAAAGTCGTTTTTCAAATGTTACTATTTCTAAACGACATTTACAAATGTTACTATTTCTAAATGTAGTTTAGAAATAGTAACATTTGAAAAACGACTTTTAAAACAGATTATAAATGTATTTTAAGTAAATTAGAATGCATAATTCGAATTCACGTGGATAAAGTATGGATTATGTTACAATTGGATTAAAATGTCAAATGCATGTTTTCAGGGCCACCAGAGCTATCACGCCGCCTGGGACAGCAATCCCAGGCGGCGTGATTGGCGCCCTTATTTATCAAGTTTTCCCGATTTTTTAAATAAAGGATTTTTAAATTTTTTTTTAGGTACCTACGTCTCATTTGGCCCCCCTTGGATATCTGCTGCTCGGGACAAACTGTCGCTCGTGACCTCCCATCTCGGCGGCACTGCATGTTTTGATTGAATAAAAATACGAAACGATAAGCATTTTATATTTTTAAATTAGCACTTTTTTTTTTTTAATACTCCTAATATGAGTTTCTCCTCCATATACGTTAATTTACAAATATAATTTACAATGCGATTAAACTCTTTTACAATGCGATTAAACTCTTTTAAAAACTCTTTTAAACTTTTGTAAAGCTTTAAACTTTTTCGTTTTAAATAACAGCAAAATTGCATTAAAAATATTTTAAATAATAAAATAAATAAAAGTTTTTTAATACATAATAACATTGTAACAATCACGACAAAAAATCTGATTTGAAAAGTAAGAGAACAGCAACAACAAAAATGTTATTAACTTTTGAATTAATAAAAATTTTGAATGAATCGACCTTGTTATGCAGTAAATACGCTATGTAATAAATCTTTAGTCTTTATACAAGAAACATACAAATATTGTTTATTAAATGTTTATTAACACTTCTCTCGCCCAAATACCCGCGAAGGGTACTCGGGGGAGAAAATAAACTTGATTTTATTTTTTATATTTGATCACGAATAAAGCATGTAAATGAAAATTAGCCGCGAATCGATGTTAGCTTTCGAGCCGTCATTTTGAAATAAATGTAACGTTATTTTGGTTATTTATTTATATTTTTATTTGGAAAAACGTAAAATGCTAGGGCGAGGTGTATGATAGGGCGAGGTGTATGATAGGGCGAGGTGTATGATAGGGCGAGGTGTATGATAGGGCGAGGTGTATGATAGGGCGAGGTGTATGATAGGGCGAGGTGTATGATAGGGCGAGGTGTATGATAGGGCGAGGTGTATGATATACTTTATATAAATCTTTTCTAGAGTGTTCTAAAAAAAAAAAAAAAGGTCCACTAAACGTAGAAAGGATATTTAGACAGTATGCCAAAAATTTTTTGACTACGTCACTGAAAGTACTGTTAACTTTCTATTATTTTACAGTTAATGGTTAAAGCAGCTTCTCCAATAGCCACCGCAGGTTTCGGTAAACTTTGCCTCAAATGCATTAAAATTTGTTTTATTGTTGCACCCTCTTCAAATGATAATCATAAGAATTGCACAAAAAAAACAGAGACTAAAAATGGATTAAAAAACAAGTAGTTAAAAAGATCCAGCATTCATCATTTAAGAAAAGATACAATGTACATAAGTTTACATCTTTGTTGGCATTTTAAAAGAGGGGGCAAAGCTAGTAAACAAAAGCTTAGATTTTCCTTTAAAAGTAAATTAAAATAAATTATCATACAGAATCAATAAGCATTACAAATATATTCTCTCCTAATAGAGTTAGTAAATTTAAAAAATGTTAAAAAGACTACCTATACATGCCACACTGTTGTTTACAAAATTGTATCCAAAGCCATTATTGCAAGTACAAATAGAATAAGTTCCATTCTCTGAAATGCACTTTTCATTATTCAATGAGCTACAATTGAAAGAACAGTTACCTAAAATGAAAAAAAAGTGATTTTAAAAGAAAAACCACAGTCTAGTAAATCTATAACAAAAACAAATTGAAAAATGCTTTCGTTTTTTCATAGCAATCAAACTAATTTATAAGACTGCAGCATAACAAAGTATTTCAATTAAAAATTTATTAGTTAAATATACCAACACGCATTGGGCTAAACATATCACTAGACATTGTTGAAGAAGTAATATACATTCCCAACTGTTGCATAGCAACAAATATGTAGTCAGCGGTTAATGAACTACACTTTAACAATTCAAGATAATATTTGGATTTTGTTTTTAAATAAATTTCTTTAGATTTTTGTTGTGAATACCTGAAAGAAAACATGGTATAAAAAATTTTAAGTTTGTATATAAAAATTAGAGGAAGGTCATAAAAGTAATGTAAAACATTTTTAATATTTACATAGTTTATAAAAATAATACTAATAATAACAATATCTATTAATAAAACAATACTACTAATAATAACAGTATCTACTAAAAAATAATAATAATAACAATAAATTACACAATAATGATAATATTATTATTTGTGTTATTATTTTAGTCATTATTGTTATTGTATTTTAGGGAAAACCTAGACATTGGGTATATTTTGGGTATACTTTGGGTAGACTTTGGACAAAGAGAAAAAAATATACCCTGTTGGCACTAGAAAAATTTGTCTATGGTTGGTATGTTGATAATCATATGGATTTAGTTTTAAAACAATTAGTTGACAGTATCTAGCAGAAAATCTGATTTTATAGTTAAAAAATTTTTTTGGTTAATTGATGTAAAACTTTTGGTTTTCATGTGAATGGTTTCAATTTCAAGTGAATGGTTTTTTCAATTTATAATCTCTCTTGAAGTTTTTTTTTTTTTTTTAAATTTATGACCAAAGAATATGTAACAATTCTTTTTTTTTAATCTTATTCACTCCCAACAAGGCTGCGAGCAAAAATTATCAAGTTGGGACTTACTGGAAAACAAAGAATAGAGTTAATAAGCAAAAAAAAAGTTGACAGAAAACCTAAAAAGTTGTAAGTTGGTTGAGTCAGAAAAACATAAAGATGGAAGAGAATTCCAAAGCATTAAATTTCGGGGAAAAACCAGAGAAATAAAGGTTTTTAGAGCATGCAGCGACTAAAATAATAAAAGAATGCGTCTAAAGAATGGCTGAATGACAAATCAAGATCAAATCTTTTAACTTTTTCAACACTCCATAATGAGTTAGATTTTAAAGACTCTGTCACTGGTATTAAAAAAAAGAAAATGAAAAAAAAAAAATTTACCTAAAAATTTGAAAAAAAACTGTCAAAGATTTACGAAATCAAAGAAAATAGAGTAAACACAGTGAAAATTCTGATAAAAGACATAGCCTGAAAGAGTGCAGTACCAAGTCAAAAACGAGGGTTTAGAAAAATTAATAGCAACATACCTTACCAATTGCATGGGTTTTTCTTTTCCACTAATTCAATAAAAAGCAAGGGATTCCAGACGCTGCAGAGCTTGGTTTTTTTACCCTTCTAGGTGGTTGGCAAGTAGAAATTTTGAACAAGACTTAATAAAATAAGCGTTAAAAATCTTTAACGCTGATTTCAAATCAGCAGCGGCGGCACAGTGGTAGCTACACGTGCCTCAGAAACAAAAGATCCAAGGTTCAAACCCCTACTTTGGGCAAGCTTTGCGACATTGGTTTAAAAGGGGCGTGAACTTTCAATTAAATGCTCATCCGGGGTACTCTGTGATAAGACCGTAAGGACTTCTTGTGGCACCTGAATAAAATTAAAAATCAGCTCCACTATAGTCGGCAAGCTCTAGTTTTGTTGAAATAGTCAATTTTTAATTTATTAAAAATTTCTCCAAAACCACAAATGCTTTTTATTCAATTTTTTTTTTTAATTAAAACTTACTTCCTTATCTTAAATAGTGTTGATAAATTTTTGTTTACAAATTAATGATTTGCAAAATGTTTTGGAAACAAGTTGAGGTGCGTAAAAAAGTTGCGAATTTTTTTTGCAAAAATCTATCGACTTCCTATCGCTTGATTGCTAAACGCACAAATGTCCCAAAATCTTCAGTCATAGATATTATAAACAAGTTCAAGACTACTCAAAGATTCGAAAGAAGACTTGGAAGTGGAAGAAAAAAAACTTTCCATAAATCCAAAAAGGTAAAGTTGATTTTACGTTTAATAGCAAGAAATCCAAATCAGTCACAGCGAGATCTAGCAAGAAAATTCAAGACTTCTCGTTCTTATATCAAAAAAGTACTTAAAAATGCTGGAATTAAAGCATTTCATAAAAAAAATACATTTAAGAGAAGCTTAAATTGTGAAATTAAAGGAATTCAACGCGCAAAGAAGTTGGTTAAAATAATGGCAGATAAAAATATGTGCATAATTGAAGACGACAAAACGTATTGCAAGGCGGATTTTTCACAACTTCTTGGTCAACAGTTTTACAATGAAAACAAAGATAAACCTGTCGATGATTAATTTAAATATATTCGACGAGAAAAATTTGCATCCAAGTTCCTTGTGTAGCAAGCAATATGTAGCTGTGGTATGCAGTCCTCTTGTTTTGTCACTAAAAAGACCTTGACTGCCAATCTCTACATCAAAGAATGCCTCCAAAAAAGACTTTTGCCTTTTATAAAAAAACACAAATACTGATGTCTCTTTTGGCCCGATCTTGCTGCCTCTCACTATTCTAAAAAAGTTTTACAGTGGTGCAAAGATGATGTGAAAATTGTTCCTAAAGATGCGAATCCTCCAAATCGTCCTGAAGAGCGCAAGATTGAAGATTTTTGGGCAATAGTTAAAGGAGTTCTTCGTAAGACAGGTGGACTAACAAATAATAAAAAAGACTTCCAAAAAAAGTGGATTAATGTCACCAATATGGTGAAAAAAGAAAAAATCTGTAAAACGATGGCATCAACCCGCTAAAAGTTCGATTTCTTGCCAAACAATCTATCAAGCCCCTTAAAATTAAGTTGAAACTCTAATTTATGTAAACAGATTTAATAATAAAAAAGTTGAAATAAAAAGCATTTATGGTTTTAGAGAAATCTCAATTTAAAGTTGACCGGATTTTTCCGTGTCCACCCGATAGCTGCTTCTTTAAATAGAGATAAGTGTACGCATTGTTCTAACTCATTCTGTTATATCTGTGGATATTTGACACTTTTCAGATTAAGAAGAAACGTTACAAGCTTTATAAAATTAGCATAAAAAATTGTATTTTGATATTAAACTCGGTTTTAAGACATAAGGTAGGCTCCAAATACTGTGTGCTATATATGCAATGAGAACGAACATTTTTTTATAAAAAATATAAAACTTCAAAAGAAAGCTATAAAATATTTGCTTTAATATATAACAAATTTTTTGTCAAGTAGAAAAGTTGCTAGATAATTTGGTTTATTAGTTTTAAGATGCATAGTTTTTTTAAAACTAACAAGATAGTTGGATGGGGTAATGTTGGTCAATATGCTAACATGAATTGTACCTCAATTGCTTTAACAACAAAATACTTTCAAAATAAAAATTAGTAAAATTAAGAAGTCTGGTAATGTTCTGGATTCATTTTTCAAGAATCATGTTGCTATGGATTCATTTAGATGATTAATAACAATGATTTTTTTTTTTTGAAAATTGTAGATAACAAATGTAGCTGTTTTGAAGAATAGCATATTAAATTTTTTATTATATAAACATGGTGTTTTTGTAAGGTGATTAATATCTAAAATACACAAAAACAATTTTCTAATTTTTAACTAAGTTTTGAGGTATTTTATAAGATACGTACGCAGGTATGGGGAAAGAGAAGTTGTCCAAAACTTATGAATGCGTGCAAAATAAAACGGGGAGGGGGAATTTAAAATCAACAAGTACTAGAGCGGTATGACCCTTGTTTTTTATCTCTCCTAAAACTTGATTTTCTTTTTTTAGCTTTTAATTTTTATTAGTGTCAAAAATTAATACTACTTTATGTTAAAAAGATACGTCAAATTAACTTCAAGCTTTTTTGTTTTTAAATGTTTCAAAAATTTATGGAATAAGGAAAGAAAAGGGTTGATTTTGGAAGAAATAATAAGTACGTACGCATAGGACGGAGATTGTTAAAAGCATATGGGTGCGTACAAAGGAAGTCCTAAATAGGCGGTTTTACTGTATACTTATTTTATAGATTCCCCCTTCCGCTTTAAATCTAGCTTCAAGCAAAGTCTCATCATGTTTTATTTAATTTCTATGTCTTTCAAATTTAAATATTCAATACGGAGAATTATAATATTTGTTTTATAGGATCAGATAAGTGATGAAAATATGTCCAAGTTGAGTTTTAAAAAAGCACATTATTTGGCTATTAGCTGAAAATAAGTTATTAATTTTGCATTTTTAATTTGATGCTTTAAACGTTTGAAGTTTTGTTGCATTTAAAGGTCTTACATTGAGTCAGAAAGGTGAAAAAACAGCAAAAATTGTGTAACTATCATATATAAACATGTGATACAGCAATATTAACGTATTTTGGGTCAAAAAATTTAAATTTGCTATTGAAAATATTTTTTACGCGTATCTATGACGCGTACAACGCGCGCTTACGCATGTAAGTGTCATTTACGCGCGCAAAGTATGATTTAAATAAAATAATCGGATTCCTTGATCTAAAATACCATATAAAAAAGTACCACATATTTTTAAGGTAAATTTTTCTTGTGCCTAAGGCGCGTACTACACACGCGTATACGTGTTAGAGTCTTTTACGCGCACAAAGAATGACTTAATTAAAAAAAATTAGATTCTTCAAACCAAAACATTCACTTATTAAAAAAAAAATTTGATTAAAAAAATATTTTAATATTATAACAATATTAAATATATTAAATACAATTATGATTTTTTTTTCGGGAAAACAAAAAAGAAAACCTAATATTAATAAAAAAAGCTTTATTTCGTTGTTGCGGCGTTGACGAAGATGAAGCTTCGGGGTTAAATGTTTTTCAATTTTTAAAGTTGTATTTTTTGAAACTAATTTTTGATATTACAGGATCACTTCTGATCAATAGGTATGCGAAGGGTCAGGGCAATAACATCCGTTTTTGCCATGTATAATAACATCCGTGAAACAACATCCGAAATTTGATTGATGTATAATAACATCCGTGCAGCTACATCTGTAGATTTTTCGGATGTACCTACATCCGATTTTTTTTTTTTTTTTTTAAATGCATAATTTTAACCAGATGTAGTTACACATCAGATTTTTTTCGGGTGTAACTACATCCGCCAAAAAAAAAAATATTATAGTGCATTATTTTAAGCATA